TTAATTGAAAAAAAAAAAAAAAAAAAAGCCAATAAAATATTTTTAAAATATGCATGTGACCTTTAAAATATAGTTTATAAGAGGCAAAAACCTAAAGTTTCTCTTTGACCCCCTTAGTCCAAATCCAAGAGGCTCCTCAGCAGATTACCAGTTCAGGAGCTATTGTGAGTTACAAAACCTAAAGGATGTCTGGAAAATGTTCCATCAACCAAATTAGGAAACTGGAAACACTCGGGAGGCAGAGCCAGGCGGATCTCTGTGAGTTCAAGGCCAGCCTGGACTACAGAGTGAGTTCCAGGAAAGGTGCAAAGCTACACAGAGAAACCCTGTCTTGGGGGGGAAAAAGAAAAAGAAAAAAAAGAAACTGGAAACAACCAAAGCTTTTCTTTCCCACCTATATTCCACCACATCACTTGTTTTTTGAAACAGGGTCACAGGTCGTCCTGACTAGCTTTGAACTCACTTAGTGATCGAGACAATTGGCCCTTGACCCTCAGGACTCCACCTCCCAAATGCTGAAACAATGTATTTGTGCTACCACACCTGGCTTATTCCCTTATTTCAGAGTAAAATTTCCCTTTATCCACACAATAATATGATTTCCAAACACTGATTGTCAGGCAACAGAATTTCATAGCTGTTCACAATTAACAATACACTTGGATTTACGTGTGTGTGTGTGTGTGTGTGTGTGTGTGTGTGTTTGAACTGATTTGTAATTGATTCTAAGTTGTAATTATTTTTTTTTCCTCTAGCAATCTGGAATGTGTTTGAGCAGAGCGGTACCATCTACTTAAGAAATGTCATTGATTATTGAGCGCAGGATATCTTTTCTGCACTGTAGTCATAATTCTCTAGACTCGGAGCTTTCATTTCTAAAATAGAACCGAGTCTCCAAAGTGTCCATTTCAGAAGAGATCACCTTCAGAACCTGAACTAATGCATTTCTGTTTTGTTGAGTTGGCAATTAGTCTCGGAAGGTACTGATGACTCCTCAAATATCCAGCCTCCGCTGGATTTAAAGCTGAAACTTTTGTAAAATGCAGCAGCCTTCTCAGGGTTCATTGTTGCTCCCTGAAATCCAAGAGAGGGCCTGACTGAGGAGGTTTTCCCACAGCCTCTGGCTTGGTATGGGGCAGAGTTCCGTGTCCGACGGCATGTGTATCAGAAACTTTGCACACCAGCAGTGCTACGCGGCTTTCCCAACCAGCTGCCCGGTTTAAAGCCTTAGAAGCCATCAGAGAAACCCCAAACTGGGAAAAACCCAAGATGGAATAGTGCATGAGTCCTAAGGGGCTCAGGAAAACTTTACCTACGGGAATAAGAATCACTGTGAGCAGTTCATAAGCCAACTGAATCCAAACATTCTGTTGTTGAGAAAATGATGAGTTACGGGTGGGTAAGGGAGATGGTTCAGTCGGCGGAGAGATTGCCTCGGAAGCTTGGAGTTCCATCGCAAGCGTACACATGAAAAATGCTGGGTATGGTGTCTCCTGTTTGAAATCCCAGCGCTAGAGAGGTGGAGACGTGTGGATCCCTGGGGCTCACTGGTCAGCCAGCCTGGGAGAGTTCTAGACCGCTGAGAGGCTCGATCTCAAAGCAAAACAGATGGACAGTATAAAACGATCCGTATGAGTTTTTAAGATTTAAAGCTTTGTTCGTGGCACTTTGTTTTATTTAAGTTTTGACTTTAGTCGTGTCTCTCCGTCTGTATCTCGTGACTTATTTACTCAGGGATGGTCTTCCACATCTTTTCCTGATGTTCTGTAACAGAAAAACAACAGCCTGGTGGGAGACGCGGATGGCGTTTACCTAACACCAACCAACAATGCTTACACTGCCTGGCAAAGCACGCTGGTCTCCTGGTTCTCAGTTACGACTGCAGCAAGATATGCTGAGTTTGGGGGACCACCACACATCCAGTAGGAGATGCAGCGGGGAGGTATCGAGTCTGCAATATTCCTCTGTTGTACACCAGTTTTGAAAACCTTAGTAAATGCAGTTGCAGGGTCTATCCAACCACTTTTCATGACAAGGCAGACATTGTTGTACCCAGAGTCCACCCACCCACCCCAAGACCATCAAGAGACCAAATCGGATGCAGAAGCAGAGTCTTCTTATTGCTGTGTGTTAACTCGGGACCCTCCGTCTGTCTGATGCAGCAGCAGAGCAGGAGAGTTCATGAGTAGCAATGGGACAAGGATTTTTTTATAGGGGGTAGGTGGGGTCTTAAGGTCTTCAGACTTCCTAGGAACAAACTCAGGATTGGTTTATGCGAGTGGCAATCATGTTAGTAACTTTTAATTGGCTAACTGTTAGTTGGGGGTTGCAGTTATCCATTTTGGGGCAGGCCTGGACAAGTCCCAGGCTTTGTCCTTGAGCTGCTGTGGAGGCTGGCTGGCCCAGCGCGTACTGACTGTGGGGGCTGCCTCAGTGGCCCCAGCTTGGTGCATGCTATCTCCCTGTCCCTGCTAGCAGAGGCATCAGTGATTAATTGTCCTTTGTTCATGGCCTTCCCGGAAACTGCTTGCTCAAGTCTCAGGAAACTGAAATTGAGGCCTGATCTCGGAGAGAAGACTGAGCAGCCTGTTACAGTGTCTGCTTGGTCCTTTCAGATAGAAGATGTGAAATACTGTGTGTATGCATTCTGTATGTTCACAAATTCCCCCCCAGGTGCTCACAGCTGTGAAATAGTGGAGAAAAGTGATCATCCAACAGTAATAATACCCACTATCTGTTACTGGAGCCCCAGTGCTGGGATCAGTCAGCACACAATTATTAAATGAATATTTATTATTGACAGGGCTCCAACCTGAAGTTAGGAACAAGAACAAGGACAAAAAAAGTCAAAAACACCTACAACTCTGTTAGGTCTCGAAAGTACTTACAGTTTGACAAAGTTGGTCAAATATGCAAACGTACAACTTAATTCTTTAGAAATGTTAATTATTTTTTTTACATATTCTTAATTTTGGGGGGGAGGAGAGCTTACCCATTTGCTTGGGTTTTTTTGTTTGTTTGTTTGTTTGGCTTTGGATTTTTGATTTTTGGTTTTTTTGTTTTTCTTTTTTTTTGTTTGTTTTTTGTTTTTTTGAGACAGAATCTCATTTATTAGCCAAGGTTGTCCTGGAACTTATTGAGTTGCCCAGGCGAGGCTTGAACTCATGGCCAGTCTCCTGCTTCAACTTTCCAAGTGATAAGATTACAGGCATGACCCACCAGGCATAGCCTAGTCTTGATTTTTCAGATATTCTTATTCAACATGTTTCTCTATAAAAACAAATATTTTTTCGTCATTCCCTTTATTGTGCAATAATAGGCGCATAAGTGACTTTAGGAAGCTGGGAGGGTCCCAGAAAACAACCCTCCGACGAATTATTCTAGCACCTAAGGAACTCAGACGAACATTCCCTTTAAAGAAAGAAAATTTGCATTACTGTTGATCCAAAAGAAACCACTCAAATAACTTAAAGTTTTCCTGGTTAACAATGGGAAAAGATAATAAATCCATGTGTTGTGGTTTTCCACTGGGCCAAATCATCACATACCATAATTCTCTACGAACGTCTAAAGCACACCACACCATGCACATATACCACATGCAAACACACACACCCTAGACACAGATGCACACACACAAGCACATGCACACCACATACATACCACACACGTGCACACAAATATGAACACACCCTAGGCATACACGCATGCACTTACACACTTGTTGCTTTTAGTGGAGGAACAGTCTCAGTTACTCTCAGATGAAGCTAGTTCTTATTTATATTCCTGTCTGCCCCAGTGTATGGCTTCATAAGAATTTATTCTTCATTTCATGCGCAAAAGACTGCCCTAATCCCCCTCTTTGGCCACTGGAGTATGTCCAGAACTTTTAAGCAGAAAAGGGCCTTTCTTCCTTGATCCCAAGCCAGAGTCGAAATGAATCTTAGAGGACTTAAATGGCCCAACATCCCCGCGTCACCACCGACTTCTCGTTCAAAGGGGTACTTTGGGCGGCAGGTGGAGTTATAATTATAGATTAGAAAAAAGCAGCATCAGCAGCTGTCCCTTGTGTTTGTTCCCGGCTATAACTGTCATCAGTGGGCAAACTGGCATAAACAGGCCTCAGCAAGTGGAAAAACATTTAACCCTGGACTCGCGACGCGCTGGAACCTCGCAGCAGCCAGAGACCAGGCGGAAACCTGACGGTCCCGTGCGTGAAGCCTGGAACCCGGGAGCACACGGACCTGAAGACGCCTCTGCAGGGAGAGACTGACATTTTGAAGATTTCCCTTCCCGTGGGAGACTCCAAAGGAACAGGTCAGTGCTCAGTCAGCTTACGCACTTGAACGGTGGGTGACCTTGGTGCTCCGTGGGCTTAGGGTTTGTGACAGCCTCCTAGAAGGGTGAAGGAGCAAATGAAAGAAAAGGAAGATGGTGAGAGTCTGTTACTTAACACAGTTGGCCTGGAGAGCAACTGAAGACATTTGCGCTCCTCTCCCGAGTCAACTGTGCTCTCCTTAGGCAAAGAGACAAGGTAGCCCTGAAAAAGTAGAGCGGGTTTTGTGACAGACATCCCATTCTTTTGTAGCACCACTTACGTGGGCAAAAGGCCCTGGTTTGTTTCCTAATTAAAATCAATAATTTTGGAGGATAAATCAGTGATTTTTGTTGCTGTTGTTATGAAGACAGCTGCCAGCTCTTAATTCCTTAGAGGAAACAGACAAATTACAGTTGGATGTTTGCCTATTTGAATGAAACATTCTCTTGCTTGTGATGGAATGTATGATATAGATTGCTCTATGGGAAAAATATACTAGGGTGTGTGTGTGTGTGTGTGTGTGTGTGTGTGTATTATAATTTGACCTAAAAACTACACGTTCTCAGTCTAAGTGGCTCTGTGAGAAGCGCCTCATAGTTCCATTGGAGAGGAGTTAATATTGTAAAGAAATCTCACTTTGTTCGCACGGGACCTATATGCTAGCCAGTAGCTGAGCAAGATTTCCAAACAAAGGTCGGCTTTGAGCTATCTATCCCAAAGTCAAAGAACATGTCTCAGTGGGATGCCATGGCACAACAAAGAGCTCCCTGAAAAGCGGGCTCCAGACTCCCTTCTCATCCTGCCCACACCCATGGCACAGAGCCAGTACAAGGAGTCCAAATAATGGACTCTCTGGGGATCTAGCTCAGTTGGTACAGTGCCTGCCTCACATGCACAAGACTCAGCACCTAGTAAACTAGGCACAGTGGCATGGTCCTGCAATTCCAGCACTCACCCAAAAGGTTGATCCAAAGCTCAAAGGTCATTCTTGACTAAGTATCACATTCAAGGCCACTGTCTTACAAAGCAAACAAACAAAAAAGCCAAACAAACAAACAAACAAACAAAAAACTCTTTTTGTTCAGCTCTGATAAGAAAGTCGACCACCTTTAAGCATCTCACTGGGACTTTCCAAAGGGAAAATACAGCATTTTAACATCAGGGTTGCTCAGCACATGGGCTCTTTTTGGAAGGTACAGAATTCCAACTGTGCATCCATCCATCCAGAGAGTCACTTAGACACTCACATCCTACCCAGTAAGACCACCCAGAGTAATCGGCCAGTCAAGCTGCTCTAAGGGCCTGGCTTCTTCCTTAAAATAGCTCCTGGTTTCTAGGAAGTGAGCTGTAACTTTTTCCTCTTAGGAAGTTTAAAGGTGAACTCAATACCTCTTTACGTATTTTAGCAGACACGGGCCCCAAGCAACGAGTATAGCTACTGTTTTTTAAAACATCAGTTTAGCAAACCAGTTTCCTAAATCCACCTACTATTGAGAAGCGGCATTACAATGTGTCTAGTATATGGCATGTGTTAGTTTCGCTATTTGTTGGGCAATCGCTACAGGCTCTAAAATACTACTTATCAATTACAGAAATTTCGGGGCTTTTAAGAACACTCTTTCCTGAGACCACCTTCCTCTCCTTCTGTGCTCTGAGGTCTAGGACTGAGATTCTAGATGGTGAGATGGTGCTATCTACAACTTCTAAATTGTAAAAAGGAGTGCAGGAATGTAGGAAGGGTGGATTGGCTGATTAGTTGCCGGCTTTAGTCTCCTCTGATTATTAAAAAAAAAAAAGTGCATGCCAATGCAGACATCAAACGTTATTTTCACCCATGTTTTTTGTCTTCTTGCTCTTCTAGAACAAAACTATCCGAGATGACTGTCACTTACTCCAGTAAAGTAGCAAATGCAACTTTTTTTGGATTTCATAGGTTGCTCCTCAAGTGGAGAGGCAGTATCTACAAGCTACTGTACAGGGAATTTATTGTTTTTGCTGTTCTTTACACAGCAATCAGTCTGGTGTACAGGTACTTTCGCTTTGCATGTCTCCTTAAATGGCCTTCAGATGTTATGTAAGAATACAGTCTCAAAAATCGGATCCCCTTGGTTGCCGCTGGCCTTCGCATTACGTAACCTCTCCCTCTGCATGAACCTCTCTGACGTTTTTTTCCTCTTGGGGACAGGGTATTTTAATCCACACCTAACCATGTATTAGGAGTCAGCGACTGCCAGAGACAACGGGCTCGCATTCCAGCCCCACAGGAATTGATCCTGATGAGGTGTCAGGCACTCTGTTTTAGGCGTAAATTGAAAGATTTAACCTTACACCCTTATCGTGTCATGATTAATGGCAAAGCCCACAGACACATACTTTTGTACTTCTCTCAGCCATGTCCCTCCGAGTTTGAACTTGTGGCCTGACGGCTTGTTGCAACTCCATATGGAGTTAACATCTTGGGTGAACAGAATTTCCCAGGCAGCTTGCCTTTAGTCTGGATGGTAAGCTCTGCCCTGGGATGGTGTTCTCCTACCTTACCAGTGCCGCAACCAAAGAATTAAGGCCCGAAGAATAATCTGTTCTCTTTATGTCTTCTGATTTCAGGACGTCACTTTCGCAAAAGGAGGTATTTATTCTTTGTTATGTCAAGATGTGTTCCTGTCAGGTTGATAGAGACTTTGAGCATAGCCACCTCTCAACAACTCAGAATTACAGTCTTGATAAAATTTCATCAGTATGCTAAGAAAAGAAGCTTGATGAGTCATTAAACTAAAATTGACTCATTGGAGGAAACTAATAGGAAAGCTTACAGTTTTTAAGGCCATATTTCCACCTTAGCTAGGTATATAACTCTTCCTTCTACCACAGATGAACAAATTGTGAGGAATCACCATGTTACCTACATCCTTCCCTGCGGTTACGAGACTCCACTTGGAGAGGAGGGATGTTCGTTTAGTTGGCTGAGCATTACCCAGAGCGAAATGTTGTTACACATCAAAACTTCCATCCTAGGGCTGAGGATGCAGCCAGCTCAGGTGGCAGAGTACTTGCTTAGCATGCATGGAGTCCTGGGTTCATTTCCTAGCATCACATACAGCCAGGCATGATGGCACAGTCCTGTAATCCCAGCGTGCAGGAGGTGGAGGCAGGTGGATCTGAACTTCAAGATAATCCTTGGCTATGTGGGCTACAGGAGACCCTGTCTCAAAAACAAAACAAAACACTACTATTGCAAATGAGTGTACGCGTTAGAATGGATTTTGTGGGGCTGGGGATTTAGCTCAGTGGTAGAATGCTTGAATAGCAAGTGCTAGGTCCTGGGTTCAAATAACCAAAACAAAAAAAACACCAAGGCAAAAATCGCAAGGATAGATTTTGGCAAATGTCCTTAGAGACCTCTTATATTTTTCAGATATCTTAGAGATTATCTTAACAGCTTAGTTATATGTCGCACGAACCTTCAGGATATGAAATGGTGGCAGATTAGCGGCCTTCCAGGATAACTATCTATCTCCTTAGTTTGTTTTTACTAATGTGAGTTGACTGTTGCTATTGCTGCCTAGAATAGAAAAAGCCCTGAGAACCGTTGCTGTATTGCCAGAAATGCTCTCTGGGGTCTCAACTTTTGCTCCAGTATCAAAATCTTACCCCCCAAAGTCTACACAGACTTTTGTCTTTCTGAAAAATCAAAGAGTGCATATATTTGCAAAAATCACTTTAATTTGGTTTCTCCTCTTTTTACAAGTCTCATTGCAAATTCTTGGAAAAGCCAATTTTTAAAAAATTTTATTTATTTCATGTGCTTTGGTGTTTTGCCTGCGTGTATACCTGTGGGAAGGTATCAGATCCCCTGGAACTAGAGTTACAGGCAGTTGTAAGCTGCCCTGTGGGTGCTGGGAATTGAACCTGGGTCCTCTGGCAGAGCAGTCAGTGCTCTTAACCACTGAGCCATCTCTCCAGCCCAAGTAGATCCTTTTTGTCTTAAGGATTTATCCAGAACTGTTGGATTAATAGGTCAAGAAAGTAAAGCAGACCTGTGGGAGATAGAAACAGAGTTAGTTGTTTCTTGTGCCTGCTGTAGGCTTTGGTTCTATCTCTTCCAATTTGGAGGAATGATAAAATAATCTCTGTGGTAATTTCTAGCTAAGAAAATTTGTGTCTACTATTCATGTTTCTTTGGCCAATTAGTATTAATGCCACCCATTTTGGTTCTATGTTTGAAGATATATGTTTTAAAATTATTTATATAATTGATTTTTTTTTTTTATCTCTACGGAACCATAGGCTGAAAAAAAAAAAAAAAAAAAACACAACTGAGACTCCTAGAGACTAGACAATACACAGACCTGTGCCGTACCCTGGCTTGGCCTAACTGGTCCTAAGAGCCACACTTTCCACTCTAAATACCCTTTGACCATTTCTATTCATGTAGCAGAAAGCCACCCTGTCTGTGACTTGTCATCAACACGACCCTCTCAGGCCTGTGAATCCAGCCGGTGCCTCTCTTGTCACTTCCCCTGATTCCATGAACTCTATCACCTCATCCAAAGCTGAGACAGAAACTCCATACACCCCTGGACCCCAAACTCCTCCCTCACCAGTACCAGCTCCGCCTGCAGCCTCATTGGTTGGATACGGTTCCCTCACTGGCCCTCTGCTTCTTTATCAACGTTCTAGCCAAGGGAACTGTTGGTCCTTGTTCTGGTGGATCTTTTCCTTAGATTTCTTCATCCTTGAGATGAACTGCACTATTGACCTATGCAAATTCACATGTGGTTTCTCTTTCCACATTTTGGTGATTATTACTAGTCTGCCTTTAGAGATTTTGGGGGGCTCTGAATTCCCTCCCTAAAGCATAATAATGGTCTTATTATGGGCAGGTATGTTTAACAGTCTCAGAAAAAGACTTTGGGGAGGTCAAGTCAGAGCTACAGGAAAAGTTTTGAGACAATGGCAAAATGTAACAGTTTCCACATTTAAGATTAAATCACCTTTATCTGTACTCCAAATAATTATAAGTGTTAAAGTAAACAATTATAATATTACTTGTGATATGCACAATCTAGAATGTGCTAATTTACTTAATTAAATTAATTAACACATTCTGAATTAAGATCAAGATGTCTAATGTTATTACTCAATAATGACTTAATAACTCTGACCCATCAAATCAATACTCTCTTTCTTGTAAGTATTCCTGATGAATAATTGAAAAGCAGAAACCAAGTCTGGTGGTGCAGGGCTATAACCCCAGCTACTTGGGTGGCTGAGGCATGAGAATTACAAGTTTGAGACCTGCTTGGTCTACAGAGTGAGCTCAAGCCAGCCTGGGCAACTTCAGTGAGACCCCGTCTCAAAAATAGAAAGGAAAATATGAGACTGGAATTCAGTGAGAGTGTCTGCCTAGCACCTGTGCTGACCGACCTTTGATTCTCAGTGGAAAGAAAGAAAATAAAAAGAAACCCTTTTGTGACGTATTTTTCTCTAAAATCCAATGAATCAATTATATAAAACTCTAAAAATATAAAGTTTTAAGAAACAAAAATGGTTAATAAATCATTTAACGGCCAAGAGGCTTCTGTGCTAAAAACTTGAATACTTGAAGCACAAAGCAATTTTTTAAAGACTTTGGAGACACATCTGTTTGAAGAAAAAGGAACAAAAATATAGAGTTCCTTTGAACAACAACAACAAAAACAAAAACCTGAGATTATTTGTGCTTAACTGTTTGCACTTGATGGCACCTGCAGAGCAGGTGCAGAAATACCATATCATAAAGGGCTGTGCGTTTTATTTTTGCTCCAGATTGTTACTTACAGGAGCCCAAAAACGTTACTTTGAAAAATTATCAATTTACTGTGACAGATATGCTGAGCAAATTCCAGTAACCTTTGTGCTTGGTAAGTATAGGTCACACGCAGAATGCAGCCACACCGCTGTCTCCATGAGATGTCACATGACTGCATGAGTGCTTCCGGGCTGAGAGGCATGCTGGGAAAGCCGCTGCTTGCAAGGGCACACGGCCATCCCTAAAGTTTGCCTTCAGGGCTGCTTCTGCTAAATTAACATCCAACAGTTTGAGGTCATGATCTGCTATCGGACAACTGAGCTTTCTCTTCACTAACCCTCCACTTTTGCAGTCAATGTTTCAGTTCTAATACCCACTTACTGGGTGCCCCTCACCTTGCCAGGCACCTAGGACATTTCCCCCATTCTTGGAGGGGCAAAATCATAAGGTGTGGATGATAGCATCCTTTCAGATCTCGAACCCCTAAAAAAGGCTAAAGTTCTGCTAAAAGTGTGTCCGTTGAGGTGTCTGCTGTAAGAAACTGCATGATGACTTCCGGTTACCCCACAGGGTTCTATGTCACTCTGGTAGTGAACCGATGGTGGAACCAGTTTGTGAATCTGCCTTGGCCGGACAGGCTCATGTTCCTCATCTCCAGCAGTGTCCACGGGAGCGACCAGCATGGGCGCCTGCTCAGAAGGACGCTGATGCGCTATGTCAACCTCACGTCCCTGCTCATCTTCCGCTCCGTGAGCACAGCGGTGTACAAGAGGTTTCCGACCATGGACCACGTGGTCGAAGCAGGTACTGTGCACGCTTTCTTCTCGTGGGCTCTTTTCAAGATCGGGTGTCTATCAGACGTGGGAACCACCAAAATACTCTAGAAAGCACCTAAGTGTATTCATTCAAGAAATGTTTGTGGGTTGCCTCCTGTGTGCCA